ATTATGGTCCCGTATCCCCAACCTGAACAGAGTAACACAAGAACCTAAAGGTAATGGCATGTAAAATACGAACATTGAATAACGGTTATTCAACTGAACATTTAGTGAATAACAACAGTTGTCAACAGGAACAATATTTAATTATGCTTAATTGTAAGTTTTCAACATATTTACATATACATCAATATCATTGAAGTTAGCATTGGATTAATAATTAGTCTAATATCACACCAATAAGTTTCCATAACACACCTTCACGCTCACACTCCATCTCGGCGCCCAACAGAACCTCATCTCTCAACACCGATAGTTACTACACAACTCCAAGGGCGGAAGGACGACACATTTTCCCATAGCCCACAGCCTAACACCGTACCCTTACAAGGGGAACCAACAAAACTAGCTACCCAGCTCATAAAAGAAGCTCTCTCTCTCTCTCTTGCGGGAACTAAGGATGACGTAAAACACACACCCACAATATTCTAGACAACAAAACGCAACTAAAAGAAACTACTTCCTATACGCTAAAACACCAAGATTAAATGCAAAGAAAACTTCACGCGCGCACGACAGTTATTACACATATTTTTAATTGTAAGATTAATTTTAGAACAAAAAATTACCGGTATGCTTTAAAGACACTGTTTCTAAAATGTTTACTAGACACGCCCAACTATACCAACAATGTTATGTGTGCTGCTACGTAAGTCAGCTAAGGGGTCCGAGGAGCTATCCCATGCAGCGCCGATAGTTTCTCTTTGTTTTTAAGCTTCAGAAAGTCATTGTCCTGGCGTCTGCAACACACACTTCTCATTGTTAGAAGATACGGACAAATTCAATTAAGAAGGAGCGGGACCAGTCGATACTAAAGTGTGAAAGACTTTCGAGGCTATAGAGCATACAAGTTTGTAATGGGCTTAATCTTGGTAGGTCTATCCTCGTGTTCGTCAAGACTTCATGCAGCGTTCAGTTCAACGCTAAATATATCAACAAAACGACGGAACTTTACTAGGAACAATGTGTCCGTTCTGACATACGCTACGACGGTAAACCGGAAGTAATGGTGGGTGAAGACGCATTCATCTTCTTCCAAAGAACCTTTCAATTCAATGTTGGTGCTAAGCTCATTCGAGTCAAAGTTGTTTCGTTAAAAGATGAAAGACGTACGCTCCTTCGTTTAACATTTGATTGTCTAAAACATCAGTAAATAATGTTTTGACTTGATTAATCATCTCTTGTTACGTTTTGTTATTTGAAGAGACTCTTTTATTACAATACATCAACACAAAACGTCATCGTCATAGATTATAATTAATTCAATCTTCATTAACACTAAAACCACTATTTCGTTTCTATTCCTCCATTTTGGTTCTCCTCCCTTTCAACACGCATTCGCACCATTCCACATTGACACTACTATGCGCTGTAACATCTCTCTCTTGACTATTGGCGTAGGGATGCAGTGACTTTTTTTTTTTTTACCGTTACCTGGATGTCACCCGGTGCGGCCATTTAAAGGCCGGTCATCGCATTTACTGCTTCAATGTTTGGTGCACTTTGCAGAAATTTATAATCTGAACTGATACCTTGCAAGTTGTTATTTACATTGCATTGAACTTTTTACTTAAGCTACAGCTTATTTCAATTGGACTAAACCCAAAATATAGGCGTTATTGAAGCGAACTACGCGTTAGAAACTTAATAATAATAATAATCTTTATTGTCCGCAAGGAATTTATTTTTTACAATTTGTGCATTACACCAAACAAAACATTGTAACTATAAAAACCAACATGTACATTCACACCAGACTCACTCATAATTTAGGCTACATGTGAAACGTTTTTATCAGATTGTTTCTATTTAATGATTTGATTGCCAAGGGAACAAAAGAGTGTGTCTGTCTTTTCTATCGGTGTCTTGTCTCTTTTGTGATGGTAAAATAACAAAATCCTGACCCAACGAATGATTTTTTATTTCTAGAATCTTTTTATGGATGTTTGTCTCAAACAGCTGCCCAAATGGGGTTTGCTTTTTTCCAATGACTTTACCAGCAGCATTTAGGAATCTGTAGAGTTATATTTTTAGTGCTCAGATTGCATTACTAGGCAGTGATATTAAAACTTAAAATATTGCAGATGTGAGCGTGATAAAACATAGCCAAGGCCTTTTCACTAACATTAAACGAGAACAGTTTTCTCAGTACCGTGAAATGGAGTGACTTTGCCTATTCAATACTAAAAATGTGAAAGGCTTTCCCATGAATTTTCATTTAAATATAAAAGAATATAGGTTAGTGTTTAGAAATGAAACTTCTCTTCTGTAAGTAGCAAAACATGGCAGATACATGTTTTTGACTCAGGACCTTCAATTTCACTAATTTCAGCTGTTTTAGGTGAGTTACAACTTTAGTTTAGATCTAATAGAATTTTAGCTAATAAAATGAACTTATGCATTTTTTTTAGTTGTAATTTGGTTTACAATTATGAGGGGAAGTTGTAATTAAATAATTTCTTAACAGGTTTTATGCTTAAGGTTGAGCCTAGAGGCAAAGTCACCCCTTATATGTGTTGCATTTTTTCTTTCAGATAGTCATGCCAACAGTGTCCAAAATGAAGCTGAGCTGACATAAACATAATGATGTAGAAACTTTATTAAAGCTATGGAAGAGTGAAAACACAAACAGGGATGAGCAGAAATTCAGCTGATAATGAGAGAAGATTGAAAAGAAAAAATATTTCTGTTTGGGCTATTCAGTGAGATTGGCGCAAGAAGGCAACATCCTTCACAGCCAACATTCTCAACATCAGCTATGTTCCAAGTGTATGAAAATAATGCCACTACCATTGAAGCATTTATATTCCAGAAGTGGGGAAATAAATTCTGGGTCAGATGAGTGGAAACCTCAACCACGAACAAAGAATTTGTCGATAAATGTCATTGATTTTCACTGTTTACTATAGGAGGAAGCCATGCATTAAATAGCTAAAATTTTGTGATGCCTTTTATTCAAAAATGTTGTCTTAATCTTAGAAAAAAGGTTTTGTTCTATTTACTTTGGAAGGCAAAGTCACCCCATTTTTGAAAAAATGGCATTTGGGCCCCCCAAAAAAGTATTTTCCCTATAATGTACTGACTTTATTTAATGTTTTTATTAAAGTACAGGCATCCTCTCTGTAGGAAAACAAGTTTATAGTAGTTTAAGTGTATTTTAAATATGGGAAAATTAAGTTGGAAGTTGAAAAGTGTGCAAAGTCACCCCGTTTCACGGTAATCTTTTCTGCTGATATAATCAGTATTTGCAGTAAAATTTAGTTCATTGTCTAGGATAGTAACAAGGTATTTAAAAGTTTGCACTATTTCAAGTCTCTCCCGATTCAGAAACAATGTCATTTTCCTTCTTTTCCCTACGAAAATCATTTTTTTGTTTTTTTACATTTAATAGTAATATATATATATATATGTCTAGATCACCTTTCAAAAAGGGAAAATGACAAACCCTGTTTTGAATCGCTTGCCTGAAGAAATTGGATAGCTTTGTTTGAAAGTCCCTTGGCTCTGACAAGTTTGATTACTGATACAATATGTTGGATATTCAATGTAGCTTTCCCATATTGTTCTATTTTTCACAGTCAAAGCATGGGCTGGGTTTGTGTCTTTGAATGTTTTGAAATGTTGCCAATAATAATCTTCGTTTACTTAACTTTTATTTTAGAATGGTAAGTAGATACGTTTCTTTAGCCTTACTCATAAGTGATACGAATGAGATTTATATAAATATTTAGTTAGTATTTATTTTTCTTTAGGTAATTTGCCGACCCCTGGAATTGTTAATTTCCAGACAATGACGCACTGATCTATCTATATATATACCCCGGCATATGATTAGCAATAACTACTAGGTTTTCATTTTATTTATAAATTTTTGCTTTAGAAGAAAGTGCATACAAAATACGTACTTGCAGGTACCCATCTGGCACCGCCACTATGCTATTTTATACACAAGAATAAATCATGCAGTCAGACCATATCACCTGCATGATACAACCATTAAGTTAGTTAATATACTGGCTGCTATGTTAAAAATTGTGTTAACCATATTTAAAAAATTAGGCATCCCTTTAAAAGAAGATAAGCCCATCATAATACTATTATTGTAATCCATCTTAAATAGTGAGTTTTTTTTTTACAATGATGATACATACTAAGTTTTCCAGCCCCTCAATATCAAGAGGCCTGAAAAAGTACCCTACTCACAAAAGAATTTTTTTTCTTAAATTTTCTACAACTTATGCAGATATATTTAATTGCTTTAGCTTTTAACTGCACACAAGTGACATACTTCATTTTTTAAACATTCAACTATTATCTCATGCCATGCCAAAACACAAATCCCTAGCTTCAAGCACAGTGTGCACTTTGGATTACTGTTAGGTCATTCTGATGTGCAACATAAAAACACAACTGAAACTAAGTTTTAATGTCATCACTTTATTACGATACTTCTATATTAAAGATTTTTTTTAACAAAAATGTATCAGAAAGTAAATTTAATTTCCCAGTAGACAGTTTATGCATCTTGGTAAATTAATCTTCAGCCTCTTCATCTTCAGCAGCTCCACCAGACTGACCTTTCTTAGCATTCTTCCTCTTGACACGACCTGTTTAGAGGGAAAAAAAAGATCAATAATTCAATCTAACAACATTTAAACCAATTTCAGTCTATCAAGCAAACAACCCAACAGTAGAATTTTAGCAACATGAAATTCAAAATTTACAGGTTAAGCATTTATTCAACTAAAAAGTACAAGTATTAAGAAGGTCAAAGGATCTTATATCAAACTGTACACTTTGAAGAAGCATTTGAAAGTTGATTATATGTTATACAGTATTACAAAATTTGTATAATGAACATACCAGGTCTGCCTCCACCATAAGGAGACTTCAATGAAAAATCAATGTGCTTCTGAGAGTCCAAACGAACAACATAACTTGGGATGTTGACAACCTGTTTACGAACTCTGTTGATATAGAGCAATGGAATGTTTTTAAAATTCTTACAAAATATACAACCCATTGCTTTGGACATGAAAAAAAAATTACAAAAAATTCTCTTGCACACTGAAATGATTCTGGCCATGTGCATCTTTACTTTCTTAAAATTTCACACGCTACCCACTAGCTTATGTGGGTGAGTTAGACAAAAATGTAAAACTGTTCTATTTAATGTGAAAAAATGCAATGTCTAATTCCACAGTTTTACATTCGCAATTAAGCAAAAAAAAATTCAGTAGTTGAGTAGGTTATGTGATCATTTACACTACTAGGTATAGACTATAGTCTACTGATTCAATAAAAAATTACCTGAACATTAATTAAAATTAATGTATTTTATCCATAGACATAAAGGCTCAAGCCCCAATGCATTAAGGCTCAAGCCCCAGTGGTCTTAATGTTTATAATTATCAATAACCTAGCGGTCAGGCAGTCACCACAGACCCAGTTTGCACTGATTTAAAGAGTGAGGCTTGCTTTTCATAGGAAAACATACCTACAAACAAAAGTTTTGACTAATATAACCTGAATAAAAAGAACACATTGTCACAACAAATCATAGACATTGCAAATTTTAAAGAAAAAAAAAAAGTTAAATTTTACCTGATGTGTCTCTGTCTAATAAGCACACGTGCATGGTGGATACTTTTGGCAAGACCTAATTTGAAAACTTGAGTTTGAAGTCGACGCTCCAAAAAATCTTCCAATCTAAGACCCAAAACGTAATCAAGTTTCATTTTGCCCTCATCAAGCACACCAATCCTTACAAGTCGGCGGAGGAGAGCATTACCTGTGTATGCATATATATATATAAATATGTTAAGAACATGTATATTTTATTTACTAATATCTTGTGTAAATGAAAAAGTAACCATTACCAAATTTAAAGCATTTTAAAAAACAAAACTAAAGCTAATATTTTCAAATTCCATACCTTCGAAGAGACGCTTTTGGTCTTTTTCATCAAGTGTCAACAACTCTCTGGCTGCTTTTCTGATTTTTCCTAATGTATACTTGACTCTCCAAACTTCACGTTTATTACGAAGACCATATTCACCAATAAGTTTTAACTCTTGGTCAAGACGTTCCTTCTCAAAAGGACGACGTGGGGCAGTATAAGTCTTACTGTGAAGAGTGGGGACACCTCCCGGCATTTTGAAATTAGGCTGAAATTAAAAGTTTTAAAAAATCAATAATTTATAACAAGTCCCCCTTGCCCATATCTGGTAATTTCACAACCATGACAATGGCAGCCACTAGACAAGACCACCAACTGTTATGCAAAATCTCCCAAAAAAATGACAGCCAGTATGAAAATACAAATTTAACCCGTCCCGTTACGCTCCCCCCCTCAGCACTAGTGACAAATGGAAGGGAAGATATTAATTTTTGTTTGAGAGGGGAAAAGTCTTGATTTTTTAGATTCATGTCATTTCTGTTCACTACCGGAAGTTGAATCAAACTGGGAAATAGGTCAAGAGTATTTTTTTGTTTGTGCTGCCAATTTATCTAATTTTATGACAAGAATGACCCTCAATTTTTTTATAATTTTGTTTTGAGTTTCTCTTTATTGCATGCAACATCGAATCAATTTTGAATGTATTGATAGGACTAATAATTATTATTTAAAGAAATATAAGTGTACTCTTAATGAATATATAGTAAAACACTATTTGTAATTGAAAAATTACATGTTTGTTAAAAATTCATTTTGAAAGATTTAAATCTTGAAAGAGAATTTTTTTTTAAGTGTCTGGTATCTATACTTTTAAAGTATGAATTAATTATTATGCTGAAAATATTTTAAAAATTGAAAAGTAATGCTTTGATTTTAAGTAATTTTTCAAGAATGAACTAAATAATTTTTAAATCTATATCAAATCTGCAACACAAGTTAATGAAGAACATAATTGATATGAAAAGAATAGATGCATTCTAAATATTAATACCTAATGCATGATTTTATATAAGAAAAATGTCTAGATATTCTATTTTATGGGTTGATTGTTAATCAAAATAGATTTTTTTTTGAATTGCAACAAATGTTTTTTGTTTTTTTTTTGGAAATAAAATAGCATATTTACAATCATCACTTAGACATCAGCAAATCAATCAAATAAAATTAAAATACATTTAAAGAAATATAAATAGTATCACAATTAAGAATAATTATAATCTCAGCATCATCCGTAATTCCATAATTTTTATAATAGGCTATGGGGAATCTCACAGATTCATAGATTATTTGCTTTTGTAAACAATATATTTTCTTTAAGAATAGGCACACCAACATCTTTCAAAGCAGCTTTTATTTCATTTCTTGCTCATCTGTCCACACTCAATTAATTAATCCATAATAATTTCCCCACATCTTTTTCTTGGTAAACAAAAAGAAAATTTATCTCTTGCTCATTTCTTTTTTAGTGCAAAGATAATGCAAGCGTTGTTGCCATTGACTTTTGTTCTACCATCTAAAAATAGCCATTTAAGCATTTGGTGCTTTTCATGATAAATTTAAAAACCTAAGATTCTTTCAGCCCAAGTATTGTGGTAAGTACTTTGATTTTCTGGTTGTGCTAGATTTTTTTTGGTTTCAGGAACTGGCAGTCTACCGGCGTCAGTATACAAGCCCAGGACAATGGGCATTGTGTTCCATTCTGATATTGTTTTCAAAATCCATGCTCAAAAGGATAATCAAAGCTTTTTTATCGCGCAAGGACGGGATATTCATTAATTCTTTAGATCTACATCGCCTTTATTCTATTGTTTTGATGGAGATCCATCGCGTTGAGCATACTGGTAAGTTGAACACCAAATTCTTTTTTATTAAGCTCATTCTACATTTAAATTTAGTTATTTGGGTTAATTTAATATTAAATCTAATTAGTTTAATAAAGTTTATTGCAATAAGTGCCCCTCTTTGGGCTAGGTCTAATTTTTTGAAGTGAAACCAGCCGCCATTACTAGACAGGAAGTGATAGATCCTATGTTTATCAATGGCTGCATCCTTTTTGTATTTCACGTTCCCTTTTGAAATCCATCATAATCCTTCACTTTCTTTGATCATCGATGATTTAAAACTTCATAAATAATATCTTTATAATGATATTTACTCACTACTTGTTTTGAAAGGATCTAAAAAAAAAAAATATTTGTTGCGATAATGGCCGATAATTAAAAAATAATTATAAATCTTGATCTAGTTGCATTATCGTAATTGTTTTCCACAATTTATCTTTTACATATTCTGACACCATCATTGGACACAAGCAAAAAAATTCATACTGGAAAATTATTTTCGACCTGGTGACGTATTACATTTACTTACTGTCGCCACAGGTTGAAACACGGATTATTTCAATTGACAAACATAAAAACAAAAATATGCAGTCATTTAAACTTCATTCTAATAAAAACAAGCCAACACGGGAATAATCGGGGCATGCCATTTGAAAATATTAACATTCTAGATCAGATTGGGCACAAATTTTGTGCAAAAAAAAAAATAAAATAAAAATGTAATTTTACTATGAAATTCAAAATACCAACGTTTTTGGACCTATGCAGATTTTATATGAAAAATGGAATACTACTTCCGGCGTTTATACGTGGATTTCGAACTCACTATAGAACCAGCAAGTGATGAGCTTTAAAACTATGAAATTTTCTTTCGATTCAACAGAATACGAAGACATTACAAAGAGTAAACTTCAACCTGCAACAGTTTCGTACGCACTAGAGCTATCTTAATATTTCAAACAGTAATGGAAACGTCATCCATTTCTGCGTACAATGGTGTATCACATGACTATATATGACATATATAAATGATTTAGTAGCCTGTCTACAAATCAGACTTTTTATTACACTTTTCTTTTTGTAGTCAGTACATTTTTCTTTAAAATGAAATTCAAAAAGATAAAATAATTTTAAATAAAAAAAAGGTATGACTGTCTTGGTAAATCTACCCCTTGCTAATTTTTATTCGTCAGTGACAACTCAGCTCAGACCCAAACCAAATATTGAAATTTGTACTTCACTGGGATGTAAAATAAAAAAATTATCTTTGAAAAATCAATTTTTCATTAGTACATCATTAAAATACTTTGAAAGAACTTTCCAATGGTGTATAAATTATGACTTTAAGTTGAACAGTTAGAAAATTGTTTTTTTTTTCTGGCGTTTTAACCTAGGATTGGTTGACATGGAGCATGTAAGATGAGAGCGTCTCGTTAGCTCAGCCAGCGAGACACCCCCCCCCCCCCCCTCAAAAAGTTAAGAAATTGGAATTGAATTTCGTAGAGGATAAATCTTCTTAAATAAATTTAATTGTAGACCTAGTATGCGTAGTAAATTTCTAGCTCACAAATGTGATTTCATTTATATTTATGAACTCCACTTGTTTAGAATATAAATATTGATGAAATAAACAAATTATCAGGTCTAGAGCTACAAGAAATGTCAGAGAGGTGTGGACTAAATGGCAGAAAATATATCTAAATAGTGGGATCAAATCGTCTGGAACAATTTTTTTTCAAACTGGCTTTAAAATTATAAATAAAATAGATCCTAACATTAAAACTCTTCTAAAACTATCAAGAAACATGCATAATTGTTATATCTACTAGCCTATGCATGATTTTATTCATTAGAAAATTTAGTTTTCAAAAAAAAAAAGTCCATAGGGAGCAGTGCAAATTTATGTTTTCAATATTATAATCGATAACAATTGAAGAAAGTAATGTATCGCGATAAAACTTAGCAGAAATATGGCCAGATATATAAATTATTCTGGGGAAAAAATCAACTTCTTAAGACTTACCTGAAACGAGTATCAGTTAAAATAAAAATACATATACCTTCAAGTTAAAAAAAGTAAGAAAATACACATTTTTTTAAAGTCCTCATGATAAAAATTTTTTCCTTAATATAAAATGTATCCATATTCACCCATTTTGGCTACGATTTCAATGTATTTAAAATCATAATCGATTTCAACCAATGGCCTATGTACAGAAAGTAAGAAAAACGAATCTCAAATTTTGACGGCATTTTTTTACTTCCGGTTTTACGGATTTTCACATATCTACTGTAGCTAGGCGAAAAAACCAGGAAGTGCGGAAGTAGGCACTTCAACAAAAAAATTTTTTTTGATCATATTGTTTTGTAATTGATATCATTAAATAGAGCTTGGTGTCCCATTTACAAAAATATCAAATTTATGTTTCTATGATAAGTAGAAGCAAAGTTATGATTTTTTTTGTATTTATTTTTTTTTCCTTCTTTGGCTTTGTATTCAATAAAAAATTTTGGTACCCGAATTTTGACTTTTTG